TACACCCCAGTTGAAATCCAGCAGATGCCCAACTTTTTGGGAAACTTTCGTTAAAATCACAATTTAAGAAAAGGAAATAAAGATCAAGATGCACATGACTTAAAAAAAATCCACCAGATGTTCTGTGGTAGAAAGGTGGGCAGTCTCCTCCCTTCTGATTAACTGCCTCAGAAAACCTGCTAGAGGGTCAGTTATACAGATTGTCACAACTTGAAGGTAAACATTAGGGAGCAGCATAGGAGACAGGACAAGCATAATCACAATACAGAGCAGAAATGGTCTATAGTATCATCTTACCTGGATCTACCAAATCCTTAGTATCAGCAGTTAGGAGATCAGGAGTTGTATAATATTTGGAAAGTTGGCTGTGAAGGAACTCTTCAGACTCCTGAAGAGAAATGTTTGCCGTTTCAAGACTAAAATGTTAAATAAATAAAAGACTAAAATGTGCCTGATTCAAGCCATGCAGTGCATCTTAAGAGTTGGACAGTGAATAAGGATGACAGAAGGGTTGCCTGTGAGTTGGGGTTTTAAAGAAGAGTAAAGAGTATTCCATGTATTGCCAAAAGAACAAAGGGAAGTCTTGGAGGAAGTGCAGTCAGAGTGCTTCTTGGGGGCAAGCAGTTGAAGCTTTGTTTCACTTTGTTTATACTTTGGACCTTGTTATGAGGGGCTATTCTTGGGCAAGGTTCAGTGTCTGAAGAGTAGATGACCCTCAACAAGATGGATTGACAGTGACAGCACAAATGGGCTCAGATCTGTCAGATAATGAGGATGGTATGGAATAGGACGGTTCAGAGTCGCTATGCATACTTGACAACAGATGACAACAATAACTTAATTGTCCATTAATAAAGTAAACTGATAGTAATAACAGCTACAATAACTAGAGTTTCTTGTCTTTAAACTTCAAAAATCCTGGAAAAAGCAAACTACCAAAGGTTTGAAAAAAATGCATGTTTTTTTTGTTTGTTTGTTTTTGGTTTTTTTTTATTTTTGTGTGAGTGTACCGTCAAATCAGATCTGACTGGTACAGGAGGAGATTGTTCCTCCTTCCCCCGGCAGAGCATCTGGTGGATCCGAACTGTGTGCCTCTGGGATTATAGTTGCAGCTCCTTTCCACTAGGCCACCAGAACTCCCCTTAAAAAAATGCATGTTTTTATATTTATGTTGTTAAGTGCCTTTGAGTCAAGTATGACTTATAGTGAGCCTGTGAATAAAAGATCTGAACCTTGTGCCTGACACACAAAAACCCATTGCAGCAGTCACTATGTCAGTCCGCCTGATTGAGGGTCTTCCTCTCCTTTGCTACCTTCCACCTTTCCCAGCATCATGTCCCTCTCCAAGAAATAGCCCCTCCTAGCAACATGCCCAAAGTACGAGGCAAAGCCTCATCATTCTTGCCTCCAAAGAGCACTCCGGCTGCACCCTATCCAGGATAAATCTGTTCTCTTGGCCATCTATGGGATGTTCAGTGCTCTTCTCCAACACCACAGCTCAAAGGCATCAGTTCTTTTTCATCCTATACATTGTTCAACTCTCAAATGCATAGCAAGTAATCAGAAAGACCATAGCCTGAATCAGATGCACCTTAGTCCTCAAACTGACATTACTCCTCAATAATTTGGAGAAGTCCTTAACTGCAAATTTTTCCAGTGCAGTGTTCTTCCTTATTTCCTGACTGCTCATACCGAAGATGTTAATTGTAGACCCAAGCAAGATGAACCTGTTGACAGTTTCAATCACCTCTTCATCCATCATGATGCTGGTAAGAGTATTTGTTTTCCTAACATTCAGATGCAATCCATACCGAAGGCTGCATTCCTTTTATATTTATAGCTATGTGTCTAAAAAGTTTGAAAACCTGCATAAGAATGACCACATTTAATACAGTGGTTCAGAGATTCAGAAGGAATTGCAACTGCATTTGTAAATATTTCTTATGGTACATAGAGAAGTTTTCTGAATGTCTGAAATACTCCCATTTAAAAAGCAGTACATCACAGGAAAATATGTTCTACTCCTCTTGATAGGTAACACTTTATACTTCTACTTCATTTGAACCTTTGATTCCCCTTTGTAGTCTGTTTAGGAGCACTGGTGGTGTGCATGATGTGCAGAAAGTCAACAGTTTGAATCTTCCACATGCAACAGTGGGAGAAAGATGAGTCGTTCATTTCCTGTAAAGATACTCAGCCTCAGAAATCCTGTGGAGGGTTGCTGTGCATTGGAACTGACTTGATATCAAGTGTGTTAATATTCTTTTCAGAGATTCCTGCAGGGAAGACTATTTTACATAGTGGGTTGGTTGGTTGGTTTATTGGTTTTGGTGTGTTGGGGTTTATTTTTTAAAATTTTTAAAACGTTACTGTGATTTGAGTGAAATTTTACAAAGCAGAATAGATTTTATTTCTAAATAGCCTTTCCCCCTGTCTTCTTGTCATAATACATAACAGGATGCTAACCAAAGAATCAGCAGTTTGACTGCACCAGGTACCCAGTCTCCTGTTTTATAGCCTCTGAAATCTGATAGAGGGCTGCTGTAAGTTGGAATCTACTTGACAGACTGCACTAGTGTTCAAATGCTGGGTTAAATGGTCCTCGATTTTTTTTTGTTGCTTCTCAGAGAATCCATTAGTAAGTCTTACCTACTATTGAAAGTGCCCTGGAAATTGTGCTGCTAACCCAAAGACAGTACCTCTAGTGGTTCTAATCCACTGCCATTCTCAGAAGAAAGGTGGGAACTCTTCTGTGCAGAAGCTGTATGATCTATTTACAATAGCCTCTGATAAGCCACTATAAGGTTGGCATTGAGTTGGTTCTGACTCAGTGGCAATTAACATTACGTGCCATTGAGTTGACTACGATTCATGAACATATCTCTGAACCCTGCTCTATCTTGAGCCAATCTCCCTGTTCTGTCAAAAAACCTTGACACTGTATGGACCATATGGACTAATGAAATACAATTGATAATTTTAAAATCTATCCACCTATAGGCAATTGATCTTTAACAGATTAAATTATGTGATAAAAACATGGCTTCTTGGGAAATGTCATGTGCCATCAAGTCACCCACCAGTCTTAGGGTCCCTATGTACAATAGCTCTGAAGGCTGCCCTATCCTGAGCCAGTCTCACTGACTCTGACCCACCTAACCCCACTGCCCAGTTACCATGTCAATCCATCTTACTTGAGGTCTTCCTCTCCTGCACTGTCCCTCAATCCTTCCAAGCATTATGTCATTCTCCATGGACTGGTCCCTCCTGGTCACATGCTAAAAGCAATTAGTTGAGCTAATCTACCATACAAAGTAAAATACTAATCCATTTTTTGTTTTTACCATTCTGATCCAATCCACTATACCCTCATTTCTAGACTAACTTCCTAGTTAGAGTCCTTCCTTTCATTCATTTGGACATACTTCACAGAGTAGACAGTGCTTTGAAAATGTAAATCAGCCCTCATTCATTTGGTAAAAGCCTTATTTCCCCTTGTAGAATTCAAATTCCTTACCTGAGTCAACCAGCCATTCCTTCTACTTTACTAGCTACATACATCTCTACTCCATTCCCCAACTACACTTCAGGCATGTTGACCTGTTTTTTGAACATAATAAGGTTAAATCATTTTTAGGGCCTTTGCATTCATTGTTGTGCCTGAAACAGTTCCTTATGTTTTCTGCACTCTGGGCTTTGGTTACTTTGGTCTAGGCCTACATTTTATGTAAGTCTCATGGACTCACATTTGACTGTGTTTATGCAAAACCTATACTTGGACCAGGAGGCAGTTGTCAGAGCAGAGAGACCGTACATGGTTCAAAATCAGCACGGGTGTACTCCAGGGGTATATTCTGTCTCCATACCTTTTCAATCTGTGCAGAACAGATGATCCAGGAGGCCGGGCTGTATGAGGAGGAATTTGGCATCAGGATTGGAGGAAGACTCATCAACAACCTGCTTACTGAAACTAAGGAGAACCTTAAGTGCTTGCTGCAGAAGATCAAGGACTGCAGCCTTCAATATGGATTGAAGCTCAATATAAAACAAAGATTCACCACTGGGCTGATTGACAGAATCATGATAGATGGTGAAGAGATTGAGATTGTCAACAGCTTTAGTTTGCTTGGCTCCACAATCAACTTTTGGTACCAGCAGTCAGGAAAAAGAGACAAATTGCCCTGGGAAATTTGGCTGTTAGGGACCTCTCCAAAGTACTGAAGAACAGTGATGTCAGTCTAGAGACTAAGATGCCCCTGATCCAGGCCATGGTCTTTGCAATTGTTTGCTATGCATCAGAGAGCTGGACAATGACTAGGGATGATAGAGAAATGATTCCTTTGAGCTGTGGTGCTGGAGAAGAGTGTTGAATATACCATGGACTGCTAGGAGAACAAACAGGTTCAACTTAGAGGGTGAAGCCAGGCTGCTTCTTGGAGGCAAGGATACGAAGCTTCGTCTGACATACTTTGGTCATGTTTCAAGGAGGGACCTTAGAGAGGGACATCATGCTTGGAAGGGTAGAGGTATGGAGAAAGAGGGAGACCATCAATGACATGTATTGATAGAGACTGGGGTAATGAGGGTAGGTGTGTCAGAGACACTAAAGTTGGCATAGAATAGAACAGATTTTATGGCTGTTGTACATAGGGTTGCTATGAGTTGCAAGCAATTTGATGGCACATAACAACATGGACTCTAGATCATTTAGTTTGTCTTCATAGCAAGTCAGTCAAAATGAGATTCTGGGATCAGAGTTGGCTCTTCTATTCACTAGGGGATATAGATTTCCAATGAGATTTACTCTTTAAAATCATTAAGCCTTTTGAGGGTTCATAAAGAAATAGCCATAAGCAATCCAGTAGATCTCTTAACTTGGATGACAGGAAGTAAAAATAAATCAGATGAAAGTTACCCATGCCTGAGAAAATTTTGGGGGGCAGCAATGGCAGGAGAGTGACAACATAATAGTAAGGGTCAAAGATCTGTCCTACCCAGCCTGGGGGGAAAACCCCATGGCCCCAGGGAGTGCCATCCCTAGAGAGAGCAATCATGTCACTGGGGAAAGCCACCTAGTAAATACGAGGAATTTTATCTAAGCCACTTTCTTCCACCTCCTTCTTCAGTACACCTCCACGTAACACCTCCAAAGCCCTTCTCTTTGTAACTCACAAGTTGTTCTCTCTAGATTTGCTCCCTTTCCTATAGGTAACCCGAACACTGAGCCCAGTTCCAGAGAGAAAGGGAGAAAGTGAAGGAGCATGGAGCCTCAAGGTTCAGCTAGCCATCCCCACTGGATTTACCTTGGCAAACATTTTGCAGTCCAGAGGGCAGAAAACGTCAGGAAAATACCTTCTAACTGAACAAGAAGGCATGCAGCTTCAACTCAGGCCCACCAGTAAAGTGTTAAAGTGGGCTCCCCTTCCCTCTTCACCTCAATGCCTCTGTTCAGCATGAAGAAGCCTGCACCCCATTCCCAAATGAGAAACCCACAAGTGAATAAGAAAATTTCTTGGTTAAAAAATTAATGACTATTGGACTATGCTCACCATTACCTTGTCTTTTCTGGTCTCCACTGGATCGTTCTCATTTCCTTCACCCACTCCCTCCATCCGCCAAATTGTGCTGCCCTGTGATTTCATCCCTGTGCATCATCACGCTGCTGCCCCCAACCCTTACCCACTTGTATCCTCATTTTTACAAGAATAATAATAAAAAAACCCCTCCTACTTTTATTATTAGGTAAATATTTTCCTAGGGTTCTGCATTCACAGAAATTGGCCGACACACTTGCTGTGGATGCCATGATGTCTTTTTGTATTTCTAGTTCTTCAATAACTATGATCATGCATATATGACATCCTAATTTCTACACAAAAACCAGTGTTATTTGCAGACATAGAAAATTGTGATGAAGGTAGGAAAAAACCAAACCAGTGGATAATCTTAAATCTTGTTTAGTAACAAAAAACTGCTGGATATTTAGTAATTTAAAAAACAAACCTACTTAAGTGAGAAATTAGAGGTACTTTAAGGGATGATCCCTTTTAAAATGTAATTTTAAATGAATCTTAT